CAAGCGGGATGGATGAAGGTGGCAAGGTAGTTCTCAAAAGATCTTCAGACAAGACCATTATGTTAAGACAATACAAGCATTCTCCACATTCTATCTTAGAAAAGAATAGTAGAAAGTGATACCACAGAAGAGTGCAAGGATGACACTTAGGATTTAAACCTTAGGAAATTTACATACACATGTGCAAGGACTTCCAGCTGAAGGATATATGGTGTCTCTGGACTACATTGACTTTGATGCCACCTGAGGTGGCTGTGACTGAGGTGAAGATGACATTTTAAAACAATCAAAATCTGCTTTGTGTATTGTGACTTTGGCAACCACAGTTTGCTCCATCATTATGCTAGAGCAGACTTGCCACTCATAGTCAACTGAAAATTGCTGAACCTCAGAACGAAAATACAAAAACCCCACAAAAACCTTGCATTAACATTCTTGAAAGGTAGATGAAATGTAAACAATTTTATCAGAGGCTAAGACATCTTGGAGATAATCTAATTCAGCTTTCTGCTCAAGGCAGGGGCGTAATATCATCTCAGTCAAATGATTGTCCAGCCTATTTTTGAAAACTTCCAGTGAGGGAACTCAACAGCTTTCAGAGGCAAACTATTCCATTGATTAATTGTTCTCACTATTAGAAAATTTCTCATTACTTCTAGGTTGGATCCTCTTTAAAAAGTTTCCAGTCATTACTTCTTGTCCTGCTCTCTGGTGTCACAGAGAATAAGTCAATAATAAGTCAACAAGTCATTTTTTTCTTGTGGCTTTTGTTTTTGCAAGAAGGGGTGAAGTTAGTGCCATAGGCCAGTGCCTACTTGGATTTAGTCTAAAGCTGTCCCTGTAAACAAGCATGAATATGAATTTCTATCTTTGTTATAGTTGTTTTTCCTGGGTAGATATGAGGTTTTTTTAAGGTAATAATGTTTTTCTCTAAGTACGTTGAATCTTCAGAGGTTCTGCTGTTAGCTAGTTACTAAAGTAGGGTCAAATATCTGAAGAGTTGGGAATCAAGCTACCTTTATTTAATCAAGTTGTTTGCCTAAGTAGAGATCAGTCTTTTTAAACTATATCACAGATTATTGGATAGCTTTATTTTAATTGGCTACCTCAGAAACCTCAACAACAGATGTATATCTAACTACATAAAACATATTCTATAAAACTAATGCATGCTCTGCATCCCCAATGTAATTAAGGGAAGATGGAATAGAGATAATTTCTTCTCTTCATTTTTAATGATAGTGACAATTTGTTTTGTCTACTTTATGTTTTAGGTGAATATGATAGATAAATCAACAGTAATTATGGCTACAATAATTATCTATGGCTATAAATATTTAGAAAACATGAGTTTAAGGGCCATTTTCACCATTTGATGTCTGCTGGTAAACTACTTTCAGGAGATAAATCAAAACCAGTGCAATAACTAAAATATGACTAAAATGGGTTGCAATTATGCAACACATTGAACCACAAACTAGATAGCCCAGCAAAGTCAGCTTAGGTGTTACGTGTGATTTTACAATATTCCTAATTATTAGAGCATCTTTGGCCAATCTCCTGACAACAGCTATTTCCCAGGAAAACTAGAATCTCACATGAAGGAATAGTTGAATTAATCATAACTTACATAACTTACATCATAACCATGAGGATATCTTGCAACAGATCAACAGAGATATTTCTTTGATGCATAACAGTAAACCAAACCTGCTTTAAACAGATCCTGTTGTATGTTGACTCCTGTAATTCCTATAAATACCCAGCCAGTATGGATTCTGGAAAGTGCACAGTTGACTCTACCATGCATTATAGAACCATGATGGCATGCATGTCAGAAGTGGCATGCAGAGCCATCTCTCCGGGCATGTCAGCTGTTGCCTGTTGCTCTTCTGGGTTCTGGCATGTACATGCGTGCTGACTAGCTGGTCTTCGCATATGCGGGAATGCGGGAAACCAGAAGAGCAGCTCCCTGGCATGCATGCATGCGCCGGGAAGCTGAGCTTCCAGTGCCAGCTAGTCTTTGCACGTGCATGGGTGCCAGAAACCAGAATACCAGGTGACCAGAGCGTATGTGCACGCCGGAAATTGGAAGTTCAGCTTCCCGATGTGTGCATGCACACCATGGAGTTGCTCTTCCAATTTCTGGTGCTCCCTCACGTGCGTTCCCGTTTCGGCACTAGGTGTCAAAAAGGTTAGCCAACACTGCTATAGAACTTAAAACACTTCTGCTTGGGCTTTTCCTTTATGCAGTCTTCTTTGCTGCTGTTTAAAGAAACTTTCTCATTTCAGGTGTATTTCAGGTGAAGGGTACCAATCTGTCTGTATTCTAGTATCTATTTTTCTCTTCAGGCACTTCTGCTCACCAGGGGAGTAGAATATCATGCATATTTACCCTGGGTATCCCTTTTGTAGAGGAAGGATGCAGTAGTGATAAATTATGTCAGTGTATTTTTCAGCTGGTAAAATAGATTGATTTTCCATTCGCCTGAGTTGGAAAGCTTATTTCCTTGAAAAGAAACATGTTTGGACTCAGCCCTGGAAAGTAACAAATAGAGAAAGTTCATTTTTGTTATATAGGTGGATCATTTTCTTTGACAAGGCTTTCTCTGAGGGAAAAGGTTATGTGTGAGTTACACAAAGAGTACTTTACAGAGCCTAAATATTATTGAGCAATGGGAATGCTGCCAGCTATGTTAAAATGATGCTTTGTTATGTGTTGACTAAGATGAGGAACAGGGAATCTTGTTCACACATGAAAACTGGATTGGCTTTGGAGAAACCAATCAAGAACTGAAGGCCAAAAATAGATGTGCTGTAGCTCACAGGAGACAAGAGTGGATTCTTTCTACACATCTTTCATAGGAACCATTCTCACATTCCTTCCTTGCTCATATGGTTTTTCATGGACATGAGACTAAAATACTGGCTCAAAAATTGTGTTTCTGGGGAATATGCAATGCCATAAACTGTTGAGATGAATAATAACTTCCCTACAGGCTGTAGAAGTATTAGACTCTCATTGCCTAAATGTGGCTTCTGCAACAGTTAGCTCCCCACCTCAAAAATACTAATGTTTATTGATTGGCAAATCTTCACCTATCCATCAGGGTATCTGTCAAATGAAGAATACATAGCTTTAGTGAGAAGTATTGTCCACTCCTGTAGAATGCCTTTCTGTAGTGGGAAGAGGGAAAGGCCTTGAGTAGCAGGAAAAAAGAGCTTCTACCCAAAAAATAGTCAATAAAAGAAGTCTGAGTTCAGGCAGCAATGTAACTTGAATAAACATCTCAGAAAATCCTAGTTCTCAGAAAGATAAAGGGAGGGAAGTGGGAAGTGTATTCAGACTTACAAGGTTCTGTTCCTATAGCTTTAAAATAGAAGCAGCACTGATTTACATGACATTGGGCTCTTAGTTTGAGCTATCGTCCCTGGGACAGATTTATTGGTTAGAATAATTCTTGATTTATGTTTTTATTTTAAAAAAAACATGTGCACACATTGAAAATTGTAATTTTATCATCCAAATAATGATTATCACAGTGCACTTCCTAGAGTCACTTACTCCCAATTAAAATATTTTTCCTATGCTCCAAAGCCACTATTCATATCATGGAGAGTATTTCTCAACTTTTAGGACATCTGGACATCAATTCCCAGAATTCCTCAACCAGAAATACTGCCGGAAGAGAATCATATGGAAACTAAAATGGATTCTGATTAAACAAACCCCAACTTGGGCTAACTAGCCTCAATCGCAGTGAAAGGAACAGTATCTCTACCCCACAGCTATAATTCAAATTATTTCCATTGTTTTATTCTCTCTCTCCTTCACCGACCATCCTGTATATCTGCCCATCTTATAAACCATAATTACATGACGTAGAGTAACAAAAATAATATTCATAAATCAAAGAATAAATGTCAACAATTNCTCTCTTCTATCTACACAAGCACACAAGCATGCACAAGCATGCACACATAACACACCCATTACACTCACTCTCCCATAAGAATGATAACTATGCTTTGGAGCATAAAAGGAGGCCATACTGCATACCACATAGGTAAAATATTAAGTATTTTATGCTTGAAAACAAAAGAATTTATCTAATGGAACCTAGGTATATGAATTGTCCATATAATCAACAGTATATGCTTTGAATAGTGCTAATTAAGAAGTCCATAACCTTCTCGCACATTCTAAATCATAACCTTCTAAGCACATTTCAGCAGGGCAAAAAAAAACTAGGGCAGCTGTTTCTCTACCCCTTGATGGCAGTGACTAAAACATAAATGGTTAGATACATCACAGTGTATGCCAGGGAAAATGCAGCATTTCTAATATGCCTCCCAAGTTCAGACTCCTATCAACAGGGAGTTACTTCATGGCAAAACAAAGTTGCCACTGAGGGCAGACTTCACAAGAGAACTTCTGTATCTTCCAACAGACGAAATGGACTGAGGTATGAAACTGATCTATTCCAAGCATTACAGTATTAATCAACATCTCTACAAAGGTATCTGGAAATAAGTTTCTGGGTGTTTGTTCCAAATAAAACTGATGCATTGGGACATTCAAATTAATTCAATTGATAAGACTTTAAATGTATTTTAAATGCAATAACTAACATGGCCCTTGTTTGGCTTCACTAGTTTATTTTTATTAGATATATGTGTTCATGCTAAAAAAAAACTATTAAGGCAAATGTGATTATATTTCATCAGCTACCACATCAATTCATTAAAATAATGAATTATTCAATACTGTACGTTAATATCAGAAGAGTACTTGTTTCAATCAATACATTTATAAAAACAGAAAAATAAAATTAATTGGGTAAAATAAAGCTACAGAATATATTCCCCTAACCTTTGACTATAGTAGGACAAAGACTTCCCTGGAATGGATACTTATATCAACCAACCAAAGCTGCATTGCACTCCTGNGGGGTAGCCACCTGTCTACTGAAGCCTTCAGTTCCTTGGTGCAGTCCAATTGTCCTGGGAGAATAAATGCCAAAAAAAAAAAAAAAGTTAAATCTTACCTTGCCCTTGTTTCTTTTTAAGCAAGGAAGCACAGGCAGCATTGGTAGCCATGTCCAAAGCCAGTTTTTTCTCATTGTTTCTTAAGTCTGTTCTGGCACCTTGATGAAAACAGAATACAGAACAACACTGTCCTAAGTTTGGACAGAGAAAAAAATTCATCTCATCTTACTTCTTATCTAGAAACTGAACTAGCTTCCCGTCACATCTGAGGTACGTATGGCTTTCACCGTAGAAATGAAAAGGCATTTATAGAATGAGGTCAATAAAGAAGCATGACAAAATATTTTTACTGTTTAACTTAAGTTCAGACTCAGGATGGTGTCATTATGAGTACCGAGGTTGTGTTTTAAAGCACAAATTTCTGGGTAAACGGAGGCATTTAACCCAAAATGAGGGCAAGTTGAGAAACACAGTACCTTTTCCTAGCAAAATTTCTACAATATCTTCATAACCTTTCCATGCAGCAGCATGCAGGGCTGTGTCTCCCAGTTTATTCTGTGAAAGAAGAACAAAAGTAACCTTAAACGTTGGACAAGAACAGTTCTGATCGTTTCAGTTGCAACCTGCTACAATACTGCAAAACAATTCTTGAAAGTCACTCAGTGTATCATTCCCTACCTGTTGATTTAGTTCTACTTTTGGCTGTGTCAATAATACTTCCACGATGTCTACACCAAATGAAGAAAAAAAAAAAAGGAAAACTTCATGAGAAATTATGAAAGCCAAGACTTTACATTAATCAGCAAAAAGGCCCACTGTCTCATTTTTAGATTTGAGGAAATTAACTGGAAAACACTCCAATAATAATTGGACTCACTAACTCAATAAATGAAACATCTAGGAAGATTACCATTTGATTTAATTAAAGTATAATGTATGATTTTAAAGAAAAATAAGAAAGTCAAATTGTACTTCCCAATCTAATACGTGAACATTTTTCATTTCTCTAAATTTTGCAATACAGTAAAAACAGACACCCCCAAAATGTGTGGTATTTCACATTAAAACTCCCTCTCTCCCCCCTCTCCTTCCATCTCAATCTCTCTCTCTCTCTCTCTCACACACACACACANGGTTCTCCGAACTACTCAAAATTTCCACTGCCGGTTCTCCAGAACTGGTCAGAACCTGCTGAATACCACCTCTGAAACCATTCCCAAGAAATCTATATATAGCACAAAGAATTAGTGGCTAAATGAAAGAAGCTACTGTAGTTCCAGAACAGGCATGCTTAAATTTTGGTTTGCTTGAGCCACATTGAGTGAAGAGACTTGGGTCAGATATAAAATATATACTATAATCTATATAAATAACAAACTTTATTCTTTGAGGTCTTATGGGGCCACATTACCACCGTAGTTGTCCAGGAACTCATGCGGCCTGTGGGCCATGGGTAGAGCACGTCTGGCCTAGAAGATAATTTTTCATGGACTAGTAACTTCCTGAGTTACAATGAGATGTATGTACATCTACCTTTGAAAAATGACTGAGAAACCACTGTTCTTTTAAAACCAGGCTTGCTACTCTATCGGCTGATGGAGATATAATCAGTTTTTAGAAATCTTTACTGGAAATGGCTCACTGACAAGGACAATTTGAAAAAAAATCTAGTGCTTCTCTTTAATATGCTGTATGGCTTAGGGGCATGGAGGAATTCAGTATTCTAGCATTGGGAGGCTTTTTGTCGAAGAAATTAGATGGTGATGAAGCAAGACAACTTCTAACTTTAGTGCAATTTTATTTAATTTAGATTAAAAGTCTACATGACTTAAGGCTGTTAAGGGACTGCTTCTTGTGTTATGAAACCTGTTGGGGAGTTAAAATCTGCAGAATAAGCCTTTTTAAGGATTTTGCTGCAGTCAAGGTCCGTTCCTCTGGAACATGAGAGAATATTTCTGCATTGCTCCTAGGCTTACAATGCACATTCCCTTGGAAGTTGGGTTTAACCTCTCCTTAAATTGGATGCATATTTTTGCTGGGCTTTTAATCATGAAATTATTTTATGCCTAGTGTTAATTAAGTACTATAAACGTAACATTAAATCCTTTGAGGTTTTTTTTTTTAAAGTTTCTTAGTACTTGCAGTTAGAAAGTAGAAAGGCTATAAAAGCAACAAAATGTAACTTCAGTTAAATTAATGAAAATATTGTTTCATTTATAGGCTGGTTTCATTCAGACCTATTAAAATTATAATTTGGTAGCAACTTTTGGAAAACCTCTGAAGTCACCCATAAAGCCTTGAAAGAGGGATTGTAGCCAGTGGTGGAATTCCAAAGTTTTACTACTGGTTCTGTCTTGGCGGGCATGGCAAGGGAAGGATACTGTAAAATCTCCATTCCCTCCCCACTCCAGGGCAAAATTCCTATTCTCTCCTGATCAGTTGGTACTTGGGAGGCAGAGAATAGATGGGGGTGGTGCCAGTCAGAGGTGGTATTTACCAGTTCTCCGAACTACTCAAAATTTCCGCTACTGGTTCTCCAAAACTGGCCAGAACCTGCTGAATACCACCTCTGATTGTACCTCTGAAAGATTGTAAAGTATTCACATTATGAGTTTTGCCTAGTTTCTACAAACCTTAGACTACAGAGCAATACATGAGTTGCAATTGCTTTTAGCAGTATTTTCATTGCTTTATAGGTATTGTATTTTATGATATTTCTCCAGGGGAATTTTCATAGTAGAAATTTATAAGATTTTTAAAAATGTTCCTCAAGAGTGATATTTCATATATTTGTTTTTGCTACCACTTCTGACTTAGTCCAAACTGATATTCTCAGAGCCATTTCAGATCCAAATGAAAAGACAAAATAGAAGCTAGGGTACATATATAGTTTCCCAAAAGTACTCCTGTACATTGTTTTGCCAGTGTATTTTTGTTGGTTTCTAAAATCCGTAGATTTCTAAATTCCTCAGCATACTGCACTATTATTTTTTTACTGAATGGTGATTAAGAAAGCTGACCTTGTCAGAAATTGATTAAATCTCCTGTGATTCCTAATTATTGATCATACTAGTTGTTGTGGATGGGATTCTGGATTCACTATCATTTGGACAGCTATAGGTTTTCTCCTTCTAAACCATGGTTTTAATGCAAAGTAGATTATGCTGTAAGGCTTACTTGGATGTCTTATAATTAGAAATTATGCAGAAATTTGTAACTCAAATCTCCATTTCCCTTACAAACAGTTTTTCCGAGGATGGACAAAATGAAATGTTAACTTTTAACCAGATAAAAAGTACCCTTCATTTGTGTAGAATCTTTTATTGAAAGTCACATTTGTTTATGGTAAATGTATGCTTTGCAAATAAACACATAATAAATATTCATTAGGAAAGATCTATTAGTTTATATAATAGTAAACCAGATTGAGTGCAATGAAATGGAATTACTTGTATGAGCTGTTTACAACTCTTGCCCCAAACTTTATCTTCTATATGCAGATAGGACAAGAACATAAAGTGAAAACCTCATAAAAACACAAGTAAATTACCAATCCACAGAAGTATTTGTGCTGTAAACATGTCTGGAGTTGTAAGAGCCCTATAAAATAAGACAAACATCTGAAGAACTTAATTATATGTGCAAAAGGGAGGAAAGGGTTCATTCCAAGACACTGTGTTGGATGTAAATTAATGTGAAACAATAATTAGCTTTGCAGTAAAGCCTGCACCCAATCTACAATATATGCACATTTTAAAAATGGATTTATGGTTGCAGCTTCTTCACTCTCATTTGTGTAACTTGGTTAAAATGCAGTAGTAATCCTCTAAGCATTTCTGAAGCACAGTCTCTGTAACAGGCCATGATATTCTGGTCCAAGGATGTCAAACTCTATTTCATTGAGGAATGCATCAGGATTGTGCTTGACCTTGGGAGTGACCCAGGGTGGGTGTGAACAGCTTGATATCACTCGTGTCTGGGTGCCTGTGGTGGCCCAAGTACTCTGCCAGTGACAATGGGTTCCGGAATTCCATTTTAGGCTGTGACGGCCTCCTGCAACCCTCTGCCAGCGAAAATACAGTTTGGAAGGGCTGCATGCTGAATTTTGCTGGCAGTGGCACTGCAGGCCGCTCCTTCGCTGTTTCCTGGGTGACCCCGCAGGCCAGATCTAAGCAACCCGCGGACCAGACTCCCGGGCCTTGAGTTTGACACCTCTGCTCTCGTCCTTAAGGCAAAGCAACAATTCTGTCTTTCTCTACTAGTTATAATAAACACATAAAACTAGGGAAGTCACTTGGGCACTTTAGATAAAAATATCATCCTTTCTGGAAACAAATATGAAACTGAAGTGTAAATAATGTTCTGCTCTTCTGAACCCCCAAATTCACAGTCTCCATCCGATATCAGGGTGGTCTACAAAATTGCTACTTATTTTGACCTTGGAAAAGGCATGTTTAATCTAAGGAAGAACTACAATGAAATTTCAAAGCATTTAAAAATATTTATTCATACTGAATCAATACTTTTCTGAATATAGTTTTGGCTTGTAGGCTTTTTTACATTGCGCATGAGTTCAGAACATATCCACTCTGAAATACTTTGAAGGTAAAAAGAAACAGGAAAGTTAAGAGCATATGGTGAAAAGAGTCATTATCATCCTGTTACAGACACAACCATAAATATCTTCCAAATTACAGCAGAATAACGAGTATCTCTAGGTAAATCTGCCCCAAATTAAGTTGACAACCTGTACAAAGAGAATGTTATATACCATGGGCCTCAGTGAATGAATTCTACTATAAATACATGAAGACTGAGTGCAGCTGGTCCCAATATTATATACTGTACTTTAGATGTGTTTCAACGCAACTCCCATTATTGCAGCCAGGAACACTTTGGCAAAAATGATTTACTGCCACCTCTATGTTGCAATATAGAGATAATAAAGACCATAAATGGATTGCCTATTACATCTCTCTTAATCCAGATGCTGGATTCATGTGTAGAAACAACTTTGATGAGATGTTCAGGTGAAAAAGAAGAAATGATGCAGATAAATTAACAGACTTCTGCATGTGTTCAGATGGGCAAATGCCACATTTTTTGGCTTATTACCTCATAAAGCCATAAAGCAAGACAACGGAGGATATCTTACCTAGTTTTCTCTCCACTTAAAATTCAGGACTTGGACACACGCAAGCACATCTACACATACATACATACATACCAGTACATACACACAGAGGGCAGCAATTCTGTGAAATAAGGGACATTTGGAAAATATCTCACACATACAAATTAGAGCGAAAGAGAAGGCTCAGCCTCTTTTCATCTCCAAAATTATTATTATGGAAGACACGTTTGAGCTTAAACATACATTTCTTATTCATAAGATCAAATTCTCCCTACGGTCATTGTAAAAGACAGAATTAAGCCTTCTTTTATCCTCCAGATCCAATTGTAGTGACAAGACTCCTAGAGCAGAGATGTCCAACTGTGGCAACATTAAGACCTGTGGACTTCAACTCCCAGAATTCCATGGCTAGCTGAGGAATCCTGGGAGTTGAAGTCCAACAGGTCTTAAAGTTGCCAAGGTTGGCCATCCTTATTCTAGAGAGATTGCAAAAGATTAATGTCTGAACTATCAAGGCTAAATGGCTGCTTTTAGCTGACCAAACAATCTTCCTTTTCCTTTCTCACTCTTCCCTCAAGATTATTCCCTCCCTACCTCATCTGGTGCTAAACCGTTTTTTGGACCATGTGAATTAACCTACAGTAATTGCAATCACAGCCAGTTCTCAAGGGAAACATTAAAGGAGTCATTTAATTTTAGCTCCCTGGCCTGAGTTTTCTTTACGTAACCTGCCATTAGGTGTTCTAGCACAAAGTAGATCAACTTAATGAGAGACAACCTATAAATATATATGGAGGGGGAAGAGAGAGGATAAGGGATGATGGTAAAATGTTCTGTGGAGAATCCAAGTTCCTGAGATGTTGTTCTCCATAAAATAGCCCAAAACATGTCATTTTAAGATGAATATATATTTCCCGTCCACTCCAAATGGCTGACATCTCTAAATGTTACTTAAAGAGTGAAGCCTATTTCAACATAGCCCTCTTCTAGACAAATAATTTAAAAAGCAATTAGGGAATTTATAGCCTTAATAGGGGAGAACTTTTTTTTATAAGGGAGGAATGTCTCCCCATACTTAAGTTATAGTAGCACACATTGTGATAAAAATATTTTGTCACAGCAGAGGAAAATAATCTGAGAAAGATGAAAAGAAGAAGCTATTGATTTTTCAAGGCAAATTAAGGCAATTCAGTCAGAGTCTTCATCATCAAGATAGTCTTCTGCATTGCTTAATGTTCGCATTATGTCTATAAAAAAAGGAAACAAATACCAGTTTTGAGCTAGACCGATGTTTTAGAATGTATCTCCCTTTATTCCAACTTCTGGTTAAGTTACGTTTCTCACATTTCAAATATAACTTTATATTCTTAGAATAATTACCAGTATATTTCAAGCATTCTCCCTCACTTTTGCTTGTTTTGAATTGCAAGCCATTCAGAATTATGTAGGTGAGATGGGCATATATAAGAGTGAGTGAGTGTGTGTGTGTGTGTGTGTGTGTGTGTGTGTGTGTGTATGTATGTATGTATGTATGTATTTATGTATATAGAATGAAGTCGATCAAGGCTTTTACAGGTTGGACATTTTTTTCTTCCTTGGAGCCTTGTATTTTTGAGGGGTGGGGTTGGGGAGGAAGAAAGATGAACTACTCTTGTATTCAAGGACAGCCACTAAACCAGTCATATCTCCTTGGCAGTAGTTGTGGCACACAATCACAATCACCCAGACCAGTCAAAAATCTACATTTTGGGGAATGGAGTATCATCACTTGTTTTCTCCAAACAAGTTTGGAGAACTTGGTGCCCTATGAGCCTCTGTGCCATGATATTATTGTGGATTGTGAGCCGCCCTGAGTCCCCTTCGGGGAAAAGGGCGGCATATAAGTGCAATAAATTCAATTTAAATTCAATTCAATTAACACCCTTTGTTATGTTGTTGGCTCTTTTCCCATTGTTCAGGAAAATGGAAGTTATATCCATCTGTGTTTGGAAATTGGACTTGTGTGCTGGAGGCTTGAGTAGTGAGGGATGTAATGGAGAGGCTTCTCACTGTCTCCAGGTCTTCTTGGAATAGACAATGGATTGGATGGACTTTGGAAATTGCCTAACAGTTCACTGGTTTGGGGGTTCACATGATGAGTTTGAATGAGGGAAAGTAATTTAACTCCCACTTTAAATCTCAGGGTCTTTTGGGACAAGTCTAGTTATTTCCTATTATATTACTGACTGGAATTGCATATTGTCATGGCATGCTAACTCTAGTTAAGAGTAGGAGTTGTTTAGTGTATCTTCTCCTGGGGTAGCCACCTGTCTACTGAAGCCTTCAGTTCCTTGGTGCAGTCCAATTGTCCTGGGAGAATAAATGCCAAAAAAAAAAAAAAAGTTAAATCTTACCTTGCCCTTGTTTCTTTTTAAGCAAGGAAGCACAGGCAGCATTGGTAGCCATGTCCAAAGCCAGTTTTTTCTCATTGTTTCTTAAGTCTGTTCTGGCACCTTGATGAAAACAGAATACAGA